CCTTCTGTAAGGAAGAACCTGGGGTAAATTCCCAAGCAGACTCCTGCTCATTTTGACAAGCATACCCATTTTGATGTTCCTCTCCTTTTATATGCTATTCCACAAATCCCAGTCATTTCTGCAGCCCCAAACTCTGATCTCAGTCTCCTGGGCTGTAGATGGGAAACTGCCTCCAAGCCAAGAGCCAAGGTGAATAAGGAGTTCACCTTTTCCTTTCTCTCCAGGATCACAGATCTATACTACCTGGGGTCTACTACTTGAAAACAGTGCCCTCATTTTTTTTAAAGTCTTATAATTGTTAATAGTGAGAGCATATGTCTCATACCAGTTACTCCATTATAAAGAGCATTAAATACCATTTTTGATTTATAAATGTTTCATATTAAACTTTTCTAGTTCAGATATTATAACATCTTTTTTTAAAAACCTCTTTGAAATCTAAGTACATATGTGGAAGGCAGGCTTTTCCACAACATTAGGAAGCAGCTACCACAGCACAAAGAAAAAGCTCCTTCTCCAGTTTTCTAGCATCTTGTAGAATCAGGATTTCATGATACTATTGGATACAGGGAAGAAAGAAGAGTGGACATAACACTGGGTTGTATTTTACTATTTAATAGGTTTAAAGATGGTCTTGGGGAAGGGCAAATGGGGAGTGACTGGGGTAATGAGTGCTGGGTTACTTTTCATGGTAATGAAAATGCCCTGGAATCAGTGGTGAACAACTCTGTGAATATCTTAAAAACCACTGAGGGCCGGGGATTTAGCTCAGTGGCGCCGTACCTGCCTCACAAGCACAAGGTCCTGAGTTTGATCCCCAGTACTGAAAAAATAAATAAATATAATAAAAAAACTGAACTGACACATTAAAAGGTTCAATTTCACAGTATGTGAGTTGTATCTCAATTTTTAAAAATGAATCCCTCTATTTCAGAAATTTATACTTCATGTAAAATGGTGAAGATATACATGAATGCCTTGAAAGAAAAGCTAGAAATTTAGTCAGCTTCCCTAATCTACCCCCAACCCCACCCTGTCCCTGAAGTTTTTCTCAGACTTTATGTTTTAGTAAATATTCCATACTTGCAGTTTATACATGCTTTAGGATGGAAATGATGGGTAAAGTAATATAGTACTTGATTAAATTAAATTTCACTGGATGGGACTACAATTTGTGTATGTGTGTGTGTACATGTATATGTTGCTGAGAATTGAACCCAGGACCTCACACATTCTAAGCACATGCTCCACCACCGAGCTACACCCCTAGTCTCAAAGAGAAAATTTCAAAACAGAAATCATCTTTGCCACCAAATTGTATTAAGTAATAACTACATATATAACAGGAGCTCAGAATGTAAAGTTAAAAAAAATTCCTTCGAATTTCTGGCTCTGCCATGTGTCAAGCTATGTGACCTTGGGGAAGTTACCTAGAAATCTCTCTGAACCTTAGTTTCCTCATCTGTAAAGGTAAGACACATTAGTATAACTACTTCCTAAGGTGGGGCAGAAGAGGAAGTAAAAAGAATTAAGACATTTTATGTACATGACGATGAAGGTAATCATTATGTGCTATAAACACATACTGATAAAATGTTTTTAAAGTAAAAAAAATTACAAAAACAATTGCTTCCTAAGGTGTGATGGTGATTAAATTTGATAATGTGGATAAAACATTTAATACACTTTCTGACAAACAGTAAGTACTCAAAAACTTGTCAACTGTGAGAAGAGTGATGATTATAATGAAAGAGAAGGGGGAAGAGGATTGTCATCATCACCTAGACTGCAACAACGTAAGTGATACAGGTGAGGCAGCACATCCTGGGCAGAGCTAAGTCTTCCTGAGGCGAAAAGGGAGTGATGTGACTCTGTGGTCACCAGTTCTGTGGACAAAGCAATTGACCCTCCCTCTACTCTAAGCTCAATAACCTATGTGTTCACAACAGACCCACAAGGATTTGGCAGCAGTTCACACACATGATCCCTGCATGTGGGTCCAAGAAAACCTTTGTCAGATGCTTTCCAGGGATAGAAGAGGGATATAAAATTAATTTATTTACTCTTCTAAAAAAATTTCCATACTTCTAGGAAAAACATTGGCATTACTGTTAAATCCTTTAAATACATCAACATATACTCTCATCATCTTTTCTGAGTCTATTCCAATAGCTTCCTACATGCTACCTACCCATCTCATCTCCCTCTGTCAGGTTTTCCACACTACAGCTAGGTTTATCTTGGAAAAACATAAAATTTCATACTTCTCTACCACCTAAAGTTTTTCATGGCCTCCCCACCTATCACTTGCAAGAAATATCTTAAGCTCCTCTGCAGATCACACGAAGCTTATTATGATCTGGTCTCACCTCACAGGCTTCTGGCACTGTCTTCCTACCATCACCCCAAGCTCTAGCCTCTCCAAAATCCTGGCAGTTTTCTTCTGCAAGGCCAAATGTACCTTTGTATTTTCTTCCCTCTGTCCACAGAGGACATTCACCACATTCAAAAAAAAGGTTGAAACACAGCAAAGTACTGTTTTCATTAAATATAAAATATAATACATTACATTACACATTATTACAATACAATTACAACTACAGACTGCCTTTCAAATACATTATCTCTTGAATATATTGTTGCCACTTGTGATCAGGTATGACTATGAAGTACTTACATTTATTATTCCTTGGTCACTGCAAGGAAGAACAATCAGAAAACCAGCAAATCACTTCTGATTAACATTTTTATTGTGACAATACTGTTTTTATTTTTAAAAATTTCAAGTCACAAGAGTAGAATATTGACTAAGATTGAATACCACTTATGGAATATAAGAATAAAGTTTAAACATACTGGTAAAATTCAACCCAAAAACTTTCATTGCTTTACTGCTAATGTCTTTAATCAAACCAAATCTCTTACCTAAATGACTAGCATTCATAATAAAAGTGTAACTAGGAAGCCAGGTGTGATGGCACACACCTATAATCCCAAAACTCAGGGAGACTGAGCCAGGAGAATCACAAATTCAAGCCCAGCTTGGGCAACTTAGTGAGACCCTGTATCAAAACAAAAATAAAAAAGAGAAGGGGATGTAGCTCAGTGAGAAGGCCCTGGGTTCATTCCCTAGTATTGAAAAGCAAAAACAAAAACATACACAGACACACACACATATATAGAAAGAGAACTAGTTGAATATCTGTTAGATTTCTAGTTTATTAATCATTTGGATTTAAAAGTAGGTGAAACATGAAGGTAGACTGTGGAGATGGGGAAGAGGGCAAAGAGAAGGGCTGGAGGGAATAAAAATGATTGCGATATGATATGTGTATGTCTCAGCTCCCTGAGATCCAAGATGAATGTAATTATTATGTATTGTAAACAAATATTAGTAATAAAATACTAAATTAAATGTTAAAAATAAGTAAAATTAGATGAAAATACTGACATTGAGATATTTTATACCTGTAACTTTCAAATCACTAAATATATAAATACAAACATAGCTTCAGACTCAACAGTTTTCATTCTTTTTAATTTAATATTGGTTTACTGCCCTGGAGAACCATCACAGTTGATAAGCAGGTAAAGGGAGCAAAACTAATAACAAAAATTTAAAAAAAATTGGATTTCCTCATGTGTACAGTGATCCAGATATTATAACTGCTACACAGTATGTTGAGACAGGCAGAAAAACAACAGGTAATGACACTATGGGTTTGAAAAACATATTAGTAGTCCCGCTAGCTGCTCAAGAATTCAGGACTGTAACAAGCACTAAAAGTCTGGTTCCAATGTAAATTCACTCTCCTTTTACTTGACCCTAGGGATTCTCATTTCCTGATAAGTAGATCTAAACTCTAAGACAATAATATCCCAAGGAGGTTCTGGCACCAAGCCCCAGAAATCCTTAAAGCAACAAACACTGTCTAAAAGAAGAAAACCAGGGCATGTCTTCTCAATTCTCTCCCGTAGATCTAGGGAACATGAAAATGCCCAGTGAAATTGGAGCAATAAAATTCCTTCCAAGGCACATATTTTTAGATGTGATGGTCTGCTGTGGATAAAGTCATTCTCTGCCACCTGGAGCATTCTGGAAAACTCCTCAGAAATGGCACCAGGGCTGGACCAAATTATATGGGTCAGTGAATCCTTTCTATTTACAGAAGCCTAAATGACTTGGAACTTCCCACAGTGTCCCATAGACTAAAGGATAAATTAACTCACTACAAAAATATACCAGTAGTTATGTCAAAAGCCCTTTAAGAAATCCAGAATGTGGGAAACTGTAAAACAAAGGACCAGTTTCTTCAACAAATTCTAAGTCACAAGTTTAAATTTAAAAAGGGAAATTTACAAATTAGTAGCCACTTAACAACACATTAGCTAAAGGCAACATTTATACTTTTCTTGGATCCTGATTCAAAAAATGAATTGTTTAAAATATTTTAGACAAATGGGAAATTCTGAACATGACTTGATTTGATTTGATACTGGAAATTGAACCCAAGACCTTTGCTCTGAGCTACATCCCCAGCTCTATTTATTTATTCGTATTTTGAGACAGGGTCTTGCTAAGCCACACTGAATTGCCCAGGCTGGGCTTGAACTGGTAATCCTCCTAGCTCAGGCTACCAGAGTCAAACTTAGATTCTTATGTTAAAGAATTACTAGGTTTTTCTTAAAGTTGACAATAATTGCATTATTATTACATGTAAATGAAAGGGAATTTGTTTTATAAATCATAGAACCAGAAGGTGTCCAAAACAGCAAAGGACCCAGGGATGTGTCTGCCTGCGTGAGGCTCTGAGTTTGATTCCTGGTACCAAAAAAAAACCTAGTAATGGGAAGTAGAATATAGAAATCAACTCAGTTTTATAAATCTAAGCACTGGATTTACAAGTTGAACATTAGATACATGAATGTCACTTGTATTATTCTTTGTTTTTATAAATCTAAAGTGCTCCATTATGGGTTGAAAAGCTAAAGAATCGTACCTGGATGGAGCGTTTCAGAGCTTTTCCTTTATGAGGCACTACAGTTCCTGTAGGGGGCTGTCAGTGCAGAGTGGAGAGGGGTCTTGGAGCAGCTCTGGCTCTGGAGAATTCCTCCCACCTCTCCACAGTCAACACTGCCTGAGAGTCAGGGTAGCACAGCTGAAAAAAGACAAAGTTCTGTGACCACTGGGCTGCACTGATCACTCCCTGTCTTCACGTACGTGTCTGCCTTGGGCCCACTATGGTTCAGAGCAGGGGCTTTGGAGATAAAATAGACATGAGTCTAAACAGCAGTTCTACCAGTGAACAGCATTATAAATTTAGAGCTGGTTTCTTAGCAACTTGTAACTGAGTTTCTCCACATGTAAAATGAGGGTTATCACAGCATCTTCATAAAATTGCTTTCAAAATTAAATGAGACAACACATTTGGTACGCGAACTGGCTAACATACTGGCTGCTGTTATAATGTATTTCTTTACTTTCTTTTGCTTTGTTTTTTTGTACCAGGTATCCAACTCAGGACTTTGTGCTTAGGAGACAGGCTTGGCACCACTAAGCTAAATCCCCGGCCCATATTCCTTTACTTTCGCTTGAATTCAGACTATTAGTAAACCCAGTAAAATGGAAAGAAGAGACATTTACATCTAGAATTAATAATATCCTTATTCCTATCACTACTATTTTAAGAAAGCAAGAGACCTGTTTGAAGTAGAAAGTAGGAACACAGGGCTGGGGATTTAGCTCAGTGGTGCCGCTGCCTGCCTTGCAAACGCAAGGTCTCAAGTTCGATCCCCAGTACTAAAAAAAAGAAAGTAGGAACACAGAAGTAAATCAGAACATATAAGTAGATCTGGACCAGATGTTGAGGGCCAGCCAGCAGAGTTTTAGAAGTGGGGGGAAATGGTGTGTAAAAATAGTTAAGTGTCAAACAGTGGAGTGATAAACAAAAATGATTGTTCAGGCATATGAGATCTCTACAGGATAGACTATGTCTGTGGTACCAGCCTTGAAGACAGATGTATTTGTGGCAACTTTTATTCTTTTTGTAGTGCTCTACACAGGGCTATTCATACCATGTGAGTACTTCACAATAAAGTGACCAGATATATTAGGCATGAACATTCATCATAATAACTCTAAACTGGATCCAGAATGTTTATTGTTCAGAAACAACAGAGAAGGCAAAAAGTGTTGGTATTGCTGGGGAGGGGAGGAAAGAAAAAACTAGAAAAGGGAGGATGTGGGGTGTGAGGCTAGGGAGGAGTTAGGCACATCCATTGCAACATTTTCTGCTGATGGAACAGGCTCATTTATGCTAAGAGAATCACCTAGTGAAAACAATGCCAAGTGTGTGCCAAGCCCAGAACCCATGGCTAGACGTCAGCACTGACTATTCATTCTCTTGCAGCCCTACTCCTACTGTGTGTCTGTCATTTCCCCCAGCAGGGCTAGAACACATGTAGCTCTGGCTTGCTCACAATGTCAAGGCAGAAATAGGGATTCCATATGTTCACTGCACTCATGCATTGAAAGGAGGCCGATAGAACTTTCTTTCTTCACCTCTCCCTTAGGTTTCCCAGCTCTGGATCAAAAGCTGTCTCTTGACAGACTGATGCATTTTATGGATTCATATGGGAGGGCACACTAGGCATCAGGCACTGTTGGAGGTAACTGGGATATGATAAGTGAACATAACAGATTCCTGCCCTTGGAGAACTTTCTCCTGGAGTGGCTGGGAAGGCAAACAACCACATTTTAGGAAGTGGCAAATGTTAGGATAAAATGGAAGGGAAAAAAACAAGGGTAAAGGGATGGAGAATGAGGAAGGACGGCAGCTGGATGGAAGCTGAACCTTCTCACTGATAATTGTTAACTTAAGAATTCTGGGACTTCCTGCTATTTATGGCCACAGGCCATCAACACATTCCACTGTAGCAAAAGGTGATTAGGGAAACAAAACAATTATGTTGGGGTTTATTTCAAAATTAAAAGAAAATAAATCATATTTTCTTCATTCTGTTTATTTTCTGAAAGATGAAAGGGTGGTCTAAAGAAGGAAGGTGAAACTGAGGGCCTAAAATGAAGCAAAGGACTATACCTCTCTTCCCCTCTGCACCTCAAGCTGTCTTTGCTATGCTGGTATTGGGACTATGAGTGCTCCTCCTCAAGATAATGACACGAGAAGGTGCACAGTGGTTCCCTTAGGCAGGGCTGTGCCAAGTAATCAGCAAGCTGTCCCCACTCCTACAAGCTAATCGTATCTTTCTTAATGTGCCCCTCCCTAGAGGACCAATCAAACTAGATTAACAAGAATCCTCCGGCCTGACCTTGAAAAAGGAGGGGTGATACAAAATTACAGAGTGAAATTCTGAGTACACTTCCCTCATCCCCAAAAAGGACCAGAGAAAAATACATTTTTTTTTCTTTTTTTTGAGAAAAATAAATTTTAACAAGGGTTGGTGTTGAGAGATAGATTACAGATTTGCTTTTTTATATTTTACAAAATTTCTACAAAATGAAAAGGTATAATTTTCTTTTTTATTAATAAGTTTTCTTTTATTTTATCCCATTCCCCCCTCATATCACCTCCCCTCTCCATGTACAAAAGCTTTGTTTCCATTTTTTTCCTTCTATTTTCACTTTTTTTCTTGTCCCTTCCTTCTGAAAGGGTGTGATTTTTATAATTAGGAAGAAACAGCTGATTTAAGAAGAAAAAAGGAAGAGATGGCCATGAAAGGCAACTGCACAACAGCATAGCAGTTACTGTTGCTGAAGACCTACCTATGGCTCCATCTGCTGAGCCCTCTCACTGTTTCTTGAGATACACTTAATTAAGATTTACACCTGGAGTAGAGACTGATACACAGTAAATAAAACTGTAATTTTACGTATCTTATACTTACAATCATGCTGACAACTATGCTTATGATGCTGAACATGGCTCTTTCATACTTCACACCAGCTATTTAACTTCTGCCTCTTATCAGCAGGAGAAAAAGCTGACTTCATCATCAGATAGGGTTATATTAGAATCCTAGGTGATATATGTAGGGTGTAGAAGTACTGAGGATGCTTATTTATCTTCTGTTTGAAACAATCTCAGCACAGGATTAGGATTTTCCCTTGCAGCCTGATTAATCCATTTTACTCCCAGGAGGTTAAATCCTGAAAAAATAACATCTATTTGAGATGGAAACTCTTAATAGAGGAAAACACTTTAACTTGATAAAAGAACCTAAAACAAATGTTACATGAAAAGGGAAATCTTTAGTCTCATTCTCTTAAACTTGAGAACAAGATAAAGACACTCACTCGCACAGCAGCTGTTTTCACACACTCCTGAAAGTCCTGGCCATGCTGTAGGAAAAGAAAAAGAAGTAAAAGGCATGAGGGTGGAATACCCAAAAAACTATCTTTGTTTCCAAAGAATATAATTAACTACTTGGGAAAACACCGAAATCAACAGAATATTTTAATATGACAGGGAAATAAGGCTGTTGGACACAAGATCAACTTATACTTTAACAAATACTATTTCTCTTAAACTAATAACCAAATAGAAAATAATAATAAAAAGAAACATGATTCATAATACTAACAAATCTATGAAGTATTCAGAAATTAATTTAACCAAGAATACCTTCCTAGATGTTTCCTGGAGAAAAGTTTAAAATTCTAGAAAAGGATTTTAAAAGGGGCTGATAGCCATAAAGAACGAAAAACTAGAGTCATTTATAGCTAAATGGATGCATATGAAGGCCATACTCTTAAGTGAAATAAATAGGACACACATGTGTAAATACCAAATAGTTTCTCTAGTGTGAGAAACTGATAGTGTAAACAAGGGTTAAAATGATTAAAATGAATAACTGAAAATCTGAAATAGGAAAAAAGGTCCAAACACAAAGGGGTGAAGGGAGGGGAAGGGGAAAGGAAAGGAGGGAAAGGAAAAACTATGAGAAAAGAAAAAAAATGTAAATAATGTGTGTGTAAATAGGGAAGGGAGGAGGGGGTGACGGGCGCAAAGGTAATGGGGAAAAAATAAGAACCAAGACACATCATGTACAGGTACAAACACCTAATGATAAATGTAAACAAATTGTATACCTAAAATGTACCAATAAAAGAACTTAGAAAGAAAAAAACATAAAATAAAAAAATAAAAGGGGCTGATAGAGCCAGGGGTGGTGGCACACACCTGTAATCCTAGTACTCGGGAGGGTGAGGCAAGAGGATCAATCACCAGAGTTCGAGGCCAGCCTGGGCTACATAGTGAGTTCAAGGCCAGTCTGAAGTACGCAGCATTACTTTTTCTCAAAAAAAAGGGGTGGGGCCGGGGATTTAGCTCAGTGGTTCCGCTGCCTGCCTCACAAGTACAAGGACCTGAGTTCAATCTCCCGTACTACCAAAAAAAAAAAAAAAAAAAAACCAAACAAATAAATGGAAAGGCATATTACATGGTCTTAGATGGAACAAGTTACCATAAAAAAAAGTCAAACCTCCCCCAAATAATTCATAACTTTGATAAATCCCAATAAAAATTTTTTTAAAATATGATGTTTAGTAACTTGACAAGCTAACTCCAAATTGAACATGGAAAAAAAATTTGGTCCGGAAAGAGCTACGTAAACTTTAAGATGAATGTGTTGCTGTGTCAGTCATTGTTACATACCTACAATATCACTGTAATAAAATCAGAGCAATAAAAAAACTAAGCAAGAGGGCCGGGGATTTAGCTCAGAGGTTCCACCACCTGCCTCGCAAGTTCAAGGTCCTGAGTTCAATCCCTGGTACCAAAAAAAGAAGAAGAAGAAGAAAAAAACTAAGCAAGAGCTGACAGACTAATGAACAAAACAGAGGCTTAGAGATAGATGCACAGAAATCACATAAGAGAAAGGAGTACCAAAACACAATAGAGGAATGACATGTTATTAGAAAAACTGGTTCCTTAAATGGATAAAAAAAAGGGACTGGGTCAGTATCTAGTACTTCGTGCAAATATGGACTCTCAATGGATTAAAGTCACTGATGCTATGTAAGAATTGAGAAGGGTTTAAGCAAAACTTCAAATTTAAGCAAAAACTTCAAAAGCACAAATCATAAGTCAAAGAAATCAATCACATTCAAATTAAGAATTTTCCTTGATGGCAAGACAAATTAATTGATGGCTAAATGAAAAGATATCTGCAAAGTCCAAATGGGCCAAGGAATAAATATCTACATTATGGAAATTACTTCTGCACAAATCAATGCAACAACAAAATGGTTATCACTCCAACACAAAATGGCAAAGATAGGAACAAGCAATTTACAGAAGAAGCTTAGTGTCTAGGGGAGGCTCAAAACCATCAGCAATCAAAGAAATACAAACAAAAATGACATCACTTTGTATGTCGGAAATCAGAGAAAAAAGAAAAGCTGGGCAAAGCTGAGTGCTGGTGGGACGTAGGATACCAGAACCCTCCAGTACTTCTGGAGGGACAGAGACTGTGTATGGCCACTGTAGAGATGAGCACGGCACTATTTAATCAAATTCTGCCCATGCAAGCCTGTAATCCAGTAGTGCTCTTCTAAGTACACAACCCATAGAAATACTGTACAACGTCTCAGCAGACTTGTATGAAAATATTCACTGAAGCAGTATCTGTGTTGTTGGGGAGTACAGTCAACTTGAGTATCTATCCATTTTACAGACAGCAGGTAAATAAACTGCACAGAGTATGATGCTGTATTCAGAAGTAAATAACTAGATGCACATACAGCAATAGGCATGAATCTTAAAAATAGTACTTAGGGAAAAAAGAAAGAAAACAAATTTAACATTATAAATTAAAATACATATATGTAAAGCAAACACTCTCACCTTATAAGATCCACAAAAAGAAATACATGAAATAAAGACTAACATGTACAACAGACTTTGGTAAATGGGAAGAAAATGTTCAAATGAGAAGGAGGAAAAAGGGAGGGGGGTGGGGGAAAGGAAAGAAGGGACCAAAAAAAAAGAGAAAATCAAAGAAAAAAAGGAAACAAAGCTTTTGTGCATGGGGAGAGGGAATGGGGAAAAAAAGAAGAAGCAAGATATATCATGCACTGGTACAAATTCCATATGATGAATGTTATCATTATGTATATCTAAAATGTGCCAATACGTGTTTTACTAAAATAATAAAACATGTAAAAGAAAAGAAAAGAAATCATTGCCAAATCAAAAAAAAAATGCACTAGAAGGAACACCTATGAGGCATGATGCAAGTGGGAACAGGGAAAGAGAATTAAAAGCTAAAGAAATCTTTTTAGGTTTTTTCCATGTTATAAAAGAATTCAAATGATCTATTTGATAAACACAAAATTAGAATTGTTTCCTTCCCCAAAATTCCCAGTTTTCCTAACAACAAAAGCTACTCTCATTGCCAACTCTGTTGATGAGTAACAGCTTTTCATCCTTTTTCAAGCAGGAAGAAAAATTCAGAGATCAGCAGAGGACGAAAGGGATCAGCAGAGAATATTTACAGAACAGTGCTTCTCTCTCATGCCCTGATTACCGAACTAAGGGCCTGATTACCTTTTGATTTGGGGATGATTTGGCTCAAGGTGGGTTGGTATCAATTTTTCAGGTCTTTTAAAGCAATCTACTTTCAGAACTTCTTCCCACGTGATCCTCTTATCTCCCTATAGAAATAATCCATATGATTTGGAATATTAAAATTCTTGAGCTAGAGGGGAATTTGGTATTCTACAGATGAGGAAACAAAAGCCCAGAGAAGAATTTTGATTTAGGGCCACACAGCTAATCTGAAAAGGAAGGTCTCCCTGGTTTTGTCCTTGTTCCCCTCTATCTATTTTCAATGCTTTCCAAATACACATCTCTGTGAGCTTCTCTGTTCAAAACCCTCTAATGGCTTCCCCCATACTATCAGTGGCAAGGCCAAAAGCCTTACAATGGCCTACACCAATGTGCCCCTTCCCACTCCCACCATCTCTCATCTGCTGCCACTTTCTGTTTGCACACCGCCTGACCACCATGACTTTGCCATCCCTTATGTGTGTCAGGGCTTGGAACTTGATCCTCTGCCTCCTGCTCATTCCCTTGATTCCTTCAGGTCTCAGATCAAAAGTCATCTCAGGAGAGGCCTCTCTGACCACATACACACACACATTTTCCTACTTATATTGCTTTAAAATTCTCCATTATGATCATTAGATCTTATATCTATTTACATATTTATTTATTATCTGCCTCCACCCCACTAGAATGTCTGTTTCATGAGGGCTTGGTCTATTTTGCTCACAACTGCATCTCCAGCACCTATGACAGTGTCTGGCTCATATGGGTGCTCAAAAATATTTGGTGAATGCATGAGTCACAACCAAAATGCATCTGTCACCCAGACTTCTGATTCTTTGTACTACTGCACTGTCAGTTCTTAGTGGTCATATCCTTCAGCCAGAAGAAAAGACCTACAAAAATCCAAAAATGAAATAACATACTATAACTACTCTATGTCTATATAACTTCCCATGATTACCTTCTTTGAGCATCAAGGATAAAGTATCTAACCAAAAGCTAACATCTTGGTGTGCTTAACAGCTCTTTCATTATACAGCTGCTGTGTGATCTGGTTTCACTGCTGCTACTTTAGACCCTTCTGCCTTTCCCACCAAGACTTTCATAATTAATTCCTGACCATAAGACAACTTTATCCAATATTATTGAAAATTAGTTTAGTCAGATATTCTTGTGGACTGAGTGTAATAATAAACTATTCTATAGTAATTGAATTGATGTAAAAATTTTCAAAGATATTCTGAGCAAATTTTAAGGATTGCTTAGCAAAAAAAAAAAAGCACAGTTGAGAATTTCAGAAGAGGTAATTTTTTGTTTTTTTGTTTTTGTTTTGTTTTTGAGACAGGGTCTTGCTCTGTAATTTAGGCTGGCCTTGAACTCACTATGTAATCCAGGCTAGATCCAGTAATCCTCTTGCCACAGCCTCCTGAGTACTAGGATTACAGGCATGTGCCACCACACCTGGCAATAGGTAATCTTATAATAATTCTAAGTTATAAGTAACAAATTAACTGACTTCAAAAGTGACAGAATAATTTAGTATAACTGTTGAAGACATAGGCATAACCAAAGGCTTTCCAAACAGAACCCTAATTGCATAAGAAATAACATCAACAATCAACAAATGGGATCATATCATATTAAAAAACTTCTTCCCAAAAATGGAAAGCACCAACAGAGTGAAGAAACAACCTTCAGAATGAGAAAAATTTTTTCCAGCTATTCCTCAGAAGACTAAGACCTAGAATGTATAAAGAACTCAAAACAACTAGACCTCTAAAATGAACAGACACTTCTCAGAAGAAATACAAGTGGCCAATAAATACATGAAAAAATGTTCAATATCTCTGGCCACTAGAAAAATGCAAATTAGGGGCAGGGATTTAGCTCAGTGGCTCTGGCCTGCCTCGAAAGCACAAGGTCACAAGTTCGATTCTCAGTACCAAAAAAAAGAAAAGAAAAATGCAAATTAAAACAACACTGAGATTTCATCTTACTCTAGAAAGAATAGCTATCATCAAGAACTCAAATAATAACAAAAGCTGACAGGGCTGCAGTAAAAAGAACCTTTCTTCATTGTTGGTGGAAATGTAAACTAGTATAACAGCTATAGAAATCAGTATGGAAATTCCCCAAAAAACTAAAACTTGAAATTGTATTTGACCAAGCTATACTCTTCTAGCTATCTTCCGAAAAGTGTTAAAGATATCACATTACAGTGATACCTGCATGGCCATATTTAGCAGCACAACTCACAATAACTAAATCATGGAAGCAAACTAAATGGCCATAAACAGATGAATAGGTAAAGAAAATATAGCATATATACACAATGGAGTACTACTCTGCCATAAAGAAGAATAACTTTGAGTCATCTGTAGGAAAATGGATGCACTTTGTGTCCATAATGCTAAGTGAAGTAAATCAGATATAGGTTAAATATCTCATGATTTCTCTTATATGAGAAATATATATTATATAAAAAATTTAAAGAGCAAAATAAAAGATAATAGGAAATAGGGAGACAGACTCTGTGGAGATAAGAAGAGGGTCTAGAAGGGGGAAATGGAAGACAGGGAAAGAGAAGGAAAGGAGACGATTAAGACATGATATATTTACATACCAATTCATCTGGATGAATATATTTATTATGTATCACAGACATATACTAACAGAAAATTTTTTTAAATGACAGAGTAATAAACCTAGAAAATAAGTCAAGCCTTATACCTGCCAGTAGGTATACAAGCCTTCATTGGGATTCTACTTTAGTTTGCTTTATCATTTTTTAAAAATCCCCCAAGGTTATAGTGGCACATTCTGTGATCCCAGCTCCCTGGGAGGCCAAGACAGGAGGACTGCAATTTAGCAAGATATCATCTCAAAATTAAAATTTTTTAAAAGGTTTGGGGGTATAGCTCAGTGGTAGAGCATTTTCCTAGCATTCATGAGGCCCTGAGTTCAATCTCCACCACACACACACACACACACACACACTCCCCAAATTTAAGACTAAAGTATCTGCAGTTTGAAATATGACTTTTCACTTATTTTAGCCCAACATAGATAAAAGTGACACAGAGAGTTAGGAATAATAATAAATTTGAACTTTCGCTGTGTACCATGCAGGCAGGGTTTTCCTTCTGTAGCAGAAGTAATGAATTTGCTGTCTCTAGAGGATTCCTATGTTGTTGTGGTTTCCAATCATAAAAAAGATAAAAATCTACACCTGGTCCACTTAACTCTTTCAGAACCAGAACCTCTTGAAGTTCGACTATGTTGTAAAAATTAACACCTATCCTTTTTAGGACATCATAAATGGCAATTCAAGAACCAAGATTTATCTTGTTCTCTGGGGAAAAGTAGTGTAAGCTCCATCAGCGCATGCAAGAAGGACGAAGGAGCTATGCAAGTAGGTCTCAGCAAGAAGAGGGGCACTTTGAAAAGGAAGGAGGCTTTTCAGAAAAAGGGCCAATATGGATGACAATAAAGGGAGGGGAGGTCCTGCTTTGCAGCTGCAAGACAAGTAATTCATACATATTTGGACAGTCTACAATTATTATCATATCTTTGTCAAAAATACACACACTATGAATGCTGTCCAAAAGTCATCTTATCACATTTTCTGAGTCACAATGTTCTTGGCTTTTTGCAAAAGTTATCTGAATACTGCACAGACCCCATGCCCAGCCAGACTTAAGCCATTCTCCTCTATACAACAAGCATGTCGCTTCAAGTCTCTGAATTCAAAAGAATTTAACACAGAAGTGCCTGTAACCTGAAAAACCATATTTCACTTATTTTTAGCCCAATACTACTAAACTGACTAGGAGAGCTGAGAATAATAAATTTGAAGATATGCTATGCATCATGCAGAATTTTAAAATTTTTTCATTCTTATAGAAAAAATGTAAACATTATGTACTGTAAACATGTACCAAAAGGGGGGGACGCAGAGAGAAGGGTCCAAGAGATGGATGGAGTAGGGAGAGAGGAAAGAGAAAGGGGATGAAAAAAGAAATTAAGGTGTATTATACGCATTTAACAACTCCCCACAAAGAATGTAAACATTATGTACTACAAACATGTACTAATAAAAAAAAAACCTTTTCTTTCTTAAAACTTTTTTTGTCACAATGAGTAATGTTACGAGTTAATGTAAAAATTAGAGAACTTTGGACTTAGAAGGTGGACTTAGAGATTCCTTAAAATTCAATGCTTTAGAGAAAATTGGGTACCGAGGACTAATTTACTCAACACCTTGAATAATTAAGCATGCTGCAAGTATTTAGACTGTTAGTACTGTACTAACTTCTAGAGATCACATGTGTCTGCTGTCAGGTACTTCAGGCTTACAAAATACTACTCACCTCCTAGCCAGTTACTTCTCATAGTAACTCAGCTATGTAAACAAGGAGAGTATAAACTATGTTCAAACCCTAATTATTAGAGTTACCGCTAGCTTGCCACATAGCACGGCATCACTATTATGAAAAGAGTGTTTCAACACTAAAATGGTCAGGTTACTGCAAAAGAACTACTGTAAAACAGACCTAAAGGCAAGTTAGCAATATTACAGAATAAATACTGTGTAAGTGAGATAGGCAGTAAAGGATGAGATTACACTGAAAGTTGATTTTGGCTTTGGAATTAAAATTTAATTCTATACCCTAAGCACTCTTCCAGCTCCTAATTTGCATCAGCTTCTGGCCAGTTTGATAATTACAACAGTCAAGTGGCAGTACTGTCATCTTTGAGATGTCCATGCTTGCCGGACGTACATCAGTACCTGTAGCAGCAAGGTAAATGTATGTGGACATCTGCAAAACTACCGTAACCAAAGCTGCATTTCCAGCTGAACAGATTCTACTCTTGCTTGGGAAACCATTCATCCCTGTCTCCCAGACACAGAATCAGGACAACCAATACCCACTGGCTGTGCATCTATAATATGAAGGGGGCTAGGCTAACCCTAAGGTTTTTTTTTTCCAGCTCCCAGATTCTGCCTCATTGCCGAGGGGCAGGGCGGTGCAATGAGAAGAGCCCTGGGCTTGACACCTCTTAAAAAGCCCAAGCCCATGCGCTCTCTGGCTGCCCCTCCAACTCCCGGGCCAGCGGCGGCCCAGCTCGGCCGTCTACCAGGAGCGCGAGGGGCTTCGGGTGGCCGAGCGCGGCGCCCGTGGGGAGAAGGGCGCAGGCCCGGCCGCGGCGCGTCCCTCTGGACCGGTCCCCGCTGCCCACCGCCCGGGACAATGACGCCAGGGCCACCCGCCCGCTCGTCCCTCCGCTCGTCCCGGCCTGGTCCGGCCCTGACCTGTTCTCTGCCCCGGCGGTGCCTCTGCGCAGCGGGCAGAGGCAGGCGTCCGACCCGGGCCCGCTGTCACCAACGCCCCCAGCCGAGCGGGCTGGCCGATCCCGGGTGACTCAGCGTCCCGCCCCGCCCCTTCCAGCCCCTTCCCGCCGCCCCGCCCAGGCTTCCGCCTCGGCCGCCCGGTCTCCCTGCTCCGCCCCGCGCCCACGCCCCCTGACGGCCGCCCATTCGCCCCCTCGCGACAACGGTTGGCGCTGCGAGCACCTGGAGCCGGGAAACTGAGGCACCGGCCTCGCCCTCCGAGTCATTGCCCCCGCCACATGCTCGGTGCGCAGTCCTACGTGTTGCCCTAACTAGGAGCAAGTTTCGCTCCCGCTCTAGGCCTTCACCCGCCTCCCGCTTCCAACCAAGAGAAAAGTCAAAATCCCCTCCAGAGAAGTCCAATTGCGTTCCGGTCCGCTTTGCTCCCCCGAGGCAGTTTCCTTTATCAGGTCACACAGTATTGTCGGTGTCCCATTTCTTTGAGGATTTGAAACCAAGGTGTGGCGGAAAGCCAAAAGGAGGCCGTGCCGAGAAAGCCCCTCTAAAACTTTTCTAAATCTTCACAGAATTCCCTGTGTTAAAGGTCACAAAACCCACTGGCTTGAATTGTTGTGTCCTGTGTTTCTGGGATCTACCTAGTGGATTCTAAGAATTCAGCGAGTGTGTCACGATGCGGGAATAGCAGAGAAAAACTTACTTTTAAGACTTCATTGAATATATTCTCTTTCCTCTGCTTTAAAAAAATTGTGATAAAATATGTAAAACATAAAATTTACCATTTTAACCATTTTTAAGTGTGTAGTTCAAAGACATCAAGTGTATTTACATTGTTGGGGAACCACCATTTATCTCCAGAATTTTTTCACCTTCCCAAACTCTGTAACCATTAAGCAGTATCTCATTCCCTAGGCCCTCATAATCACTCTTCTACTTTTCGTCTCTATGATTTCACTACTCTAGGTACCTTGTATAAGTGGAATCATAATATTTGTCCTTTTGTGACTAGATTATTTCACCTAGTATAATATCCTCACAGTTTATCCATGTTGTAGCATGTGTCAGAATATTCCGTTGTTTGCCTGTTCCACATTTTGCTTATACATATATCCTTCCATAGACATCTGGGTTGTTCTACCTTTTGGCTCCTATAAATAGTGCTGTTATGAACATGAATATACAAACACCTACTTAAAGAGGCCAGGGATTTAGCTCAGTGGTTCCACTGCCTGCCTCAAAAGGGCAACGTCCTGAGTAAGATCCCTGGTACCAAAACAAACAAACAAATACCTATTTAAATCCCTGCTTTCAATTCTTTTGGATATATATCCAGAAGTAGTATTGCTGGGTCAGATGGTAATTCTGTATATTTAATTTTTTGAGAAACTGCCATATTGTTTTTCTCCTTTACTCTTTCAAGCAAGTGAACATTATGGGGAGAAAATTTTCTATTAAAACATCTGGAGTTTGTTGACATTTTTAGCAAATGCTTCATTTGTCTGTAAAACAGTGATTGTAAGAAAAACAATTAACTAATAAGAAACTAATTAACTGTAAGAAACTAATTAACATTGCAAATCTATTGGCTTTGTTTTTAATAATATTGCTGTATTACCCAAAATAACAATAACCCATAATACTCAGCTAACTACAACTTTGTTTTCTGTGGATATACTTTCCTAATGTTATTTGGAACCAAGTATGCCATATGAAATAAAAATGAGTAAAAATCAAGTAGTTCATTTTTAAAATAAAAAAATTGGGATGTCTTAATATACATCGAACCCAATCTAAATTTTTTTCTTTCATTAAAAAAGCCTATTTTAAAATAATCTGGTTCCTGAATCTCAGTGATGAATTCTTTAGTCAGTACACTAAAGTTAAGAATAACTACCCTAGGACATTGTAAAGATTCCAAATTATCAAAGGCAAAATAATATTTTTCCACTGAATTTTAACAACAAAGACTGACTGATCAACAAAGACTGACTGTGCTTTTGTGATGCATCAGGCCTTGTGCTAGGTGTTTGGAATTCAGCCTGATCCACACAGTCAGCTGCCTGCCCTAAGTATGGAGGTCACATACTAACTGGAGTGATGTGACAAGCAATAAATAAACAATAAACCAGATAACCAAGGGTGTGGGGAGTTTGGTGAAGGAACTAAACCAAATGATATAATAGATCTGAGATAATTAAACACTAATGCCCTAGCCATCCACTGCATATAATGAATTAACTTCTCTCCTCTACAACAGGAATGGTATGTTAAAAACAGTCCTCGAGAGAATTGAGGAAATAGTTACTCAACACATTTTCTACAGTATGTGGTTCTAATGAGGAATCTAGGCTGAACATAAAGACGGTGGGGAAGTCCTTCCTGGGGATGATATATTTTCCTGAGACATGAATGATGAGAAAGAATCAGCCACATGAAGAGCTGAGATGTTTTTCTGGTAGGAGAAACTGCAGATGCAAAGCTTTAAAAAGAAAAGCAATGTGGTCAGTTTCAGAAAGAAGCCATCATGAGCAAGCAAGCCAGTACAGTATTATGAGATGAGATTCAAAACCAAACAGGAGTGAAGATCATCCCAGTCCTGTAGGGTTATGGTAGAGAGATTGAATTTATGATATGTCCACATTTTGATACATGATAAATATCCCCAGTTGAAGAGACTGAAAAGAATCAAAAGAGATCAGTATACGTGGAACTGTCTTGATAGCAATAAGAATAGTATCTGCATATGTAATATTAAAACTAAAAAGTATAGGGCCGGGGATTTAGTTCAGTGGTTCTGGCACCTGCCTCCCAAGCACAAGTTCGATCAACAAGTACAGAGTTCGATTCCTGGTACCAAAAAAACCCCCCAAAAAACCCCAAAAATAAAAACTAAAAAGTATATATTTCCCTACCTCCCAGATAATCCTCAATAAAACAAAACACAGAATGGCTCAATTCCTATCCATTTTTATTAATATTATCAATTAAACTACTTAGGTGTGTTATCTTTTGATATCATATCTGAACTGAAATCCAACCTATCAGGATGCCTTATATCTAAACTTCCACAAACTGACAGCTGGGCATGGCTTGGCCACATAGCAAAAGCACCTCCCTCAGGCCTCCTCTTAGTGTGTGTATGTATGAGCCATAAGTGGCTCTTAGCAATGGCAGGCTAATGACAGTAGGAAGCTGCTGAAGCTAATCAAAGGGGCCTTGCTTGTGGAATCAGCTAGCTGTTAATCCTGGAATAGCCAGGGGTCCAGCTCCAGAAGGGCCAGGAGCATAGATAAAATAATATCCTTTTATTCCTATTACTAAAGAAGGCCTGGTCTAACAACCTAGTGGTAAAATACAAAGACATAAGTTTGCTCCTAAAATTTCATGACATGAAAATATTATTAGTTATTCATCAAAATGGTGCCAGAACCTTACAGTACCAGAGTGGAGACTGGGAAGTGTAAGGATTTGGGATGGATGCAGGTGTGTAGGGAAGTCCTGTATTCTCGGAGAAAAATGAGGAGTCCAGGGTGGTTTTGACAGAGGAGCATCGGCTTGGTGGACTTGTGCTACAGCAAGGCCAACTCCTTGAAGAAGATAACAGAGGCTATTTGGTTCTACTTAGGAATGGACTCCAGTTGGCAAGGATGAATACAATTCCTGTTTTGTTCTTCCTGTGAGGAAGTATCTGAGTTGTGAAAAACAGTAAGACCATCATGTTCCTCTTCAGGGTTGTCCAACATATTGATAGAGTGTTGCTTAGGCATTGCTTGTGGAAGCCTGAACTGGTTTAATAGAAAACAGGAAATTCTTTCACATTCAGAATTTAAAAACAAACAGGAAAACAAATTTACCTTAATATTCAAATGCCTATAAGAATTATATTGGAAAAAAAAACCCATTCATCTATATACTTGCATCACACTATCTAGTTACATGACAAAGAAAGAAGGAAGGTATTAGGAGATCTGAAAGGATGGAAGGAAATCAGAAGGAAGGAATGGAGAAGCTGAAATACTGAAGATAATTTTATAGAAAATGTTTATTTCAACCTGCCGTTATTTAAGATCTTTTCTTTTTTAGTAGAAAAAACTATCTCCTCAGAAACAGAACCAGAATTCTCTATTTGAATACAATCAATACTGCACTTTCAAAAATAACTTAGAAGTCATCTAGTTTCTTTTCCTGGTTGTCCACATTAATGATGCAAGGTAACTGAACTCATCTTTTTCTTCTCCGAATAAGGTTGGTTGGTCATGTTTAGCATATATCATGATGACAATCCAGGAAGGTAGTCACAATTATCCTTGGCTTATAACTGAGGAATTTGAAGCTCCACAAGATTAAGAAACTTGAGCCAAGTATAGTTATGAATGTCTGTAACCCCAGCACTCAGGAGGCTGAGGCAGGAGGATCACCTGGGCTACACACTGAGCTCAAGCTCACCCTGAAGTACATAGTAAGACACTGTCTCAACAAAACAAAACGAAAGAATAAGTAACTTGCCTAGTCCATCCTAACTTTCCACTTTCCCACCTTAGTCATTTCTATACTAGTTTTTGTCATAATCTTATACTCTCAGAAAACCATCATGGCAATGCCTCTTTTTGTTTTTTATTCTAGTATTGAGGATTAAACCCAGGGCCTCGAACATGCTAGATAAGAGCTCAATCACTTTGCGACAAGACACCCTTGGCCCTTTAATTTTGAGACAGGATATAATTAAATTGGCCAGGCTGGCCTTAAACTTGAAATCCTCCTGCCTCATCCTCTCAGGTAGCTGGAATTATAGAGGTGTACCACCATGTCTGGCTTATTTTTTTGTTTGATGTGTTTACTTAAATTAATTTGCTTTGTCTTTTAAAGCAGATTTTTGTATCACATCCATAATACAAAACCAGTAGAAGATATAATTCATAGGAGGTAATTATAAAAATAAATACAATGGAGCTGGGTGAGGTGGTACATGCCTATAACCTCAGCACTCAAGAGATTGAGAAAGGAGGATTGAGACCATGCCATAAGCTTGAGACCAGCCTGGACTACACAATGAGTTCATGTCCAGCCTAAACTACATAG